GTGCTACAAGTCTTGTCTCGGTGATAAAATCATTAGTCCTTCACTCACCTTTGACCAACCTGAGGTTGCAGGTGGATTTGCTGCTGATCTAGTTGTCTGCCTCAAGCAAGTCGCATATTTTTCATGCCAATGCTGTCATTTCGCAAAGGCTCTGTCTGGGTGAGGACTTACAGGCATGACTTTAGACTATGAGACAGTTTTACAACCCTTGTGTCTGAAGGCTCAGCAGACACAGTATTGCTGTGCTGAGAGCCAAACTACCCTGTAATGGTACCAACTTAATGTGGGATAAAGCAAATGTTTTATTAACACTTGGTTATTCAAATGGTTGCAGCATATCGGCTGCCCTTTATAATGATAGCATTGGAGAAAACCATCCAAACACACTAGAATATAGAAATGCAGCACAAAGACTCCAGAGCAGCCTGGACTCTGCCATCTGGGAACATTAGGGTTTTCTCGCATTTGTTGTCTGTAAATGAAGTTGACTTCTGAAGACATGGATACCACTGTTTCTTTCCTGTGTTTCTTTCCTCTGGTCAACAGATCAGAGGAGAGGCTTGGCTCCTGTCCTCGTGGTGGAGGGCTGCTGCTAGGGGCTGGCAGACCAGGAAGAGGAGAAGCTGGAGAAGAGCAGGAGGGAGCCTGGGGCAAACCAGTGTGAGATAGGGCACTGTTCTGTTCTGAAGGGGGAGAGACTAAGCATAAAGAGCTGGAGAGGGCTTAGAAGGCAGAAGGAAAAGCCTCGGGAGGTGAAAACATGAAGGGAAAGACACAGCAGAGGCAAAGGAAGAGAAATACCAAATAGTAGAAGACAAGAAGTCAAGGAACGTGGAGGTAAATGAAGAAAAAACAAGCCCTTTTGCTGAGTAGCCATCAGCACAGTGCTGGGAGCACTTCAACCTCAGGAGGTGTCACATTTTGCAAGAAGTCAGTTTCTACCTAAAAACAGGAACCACCACAATTTGTGCTGAACAGTTGTGTGCTCTGGGCCAGTCTTACAGGTGTGCACGCCATGGGGCTCACCAGACTGAAACAGAGACCCCTGCCACGGGGAGTCTGTGATCTGTGCCCAATGCATGGACAGACACCAGGATCTCCCTCCTGTGGCCCTGCCTTATCCCCTCATTGCTCCTGCATGTGACCTGCTCCCGACCCGCTACACGAGTGCACACACGTGCTCACACACACACACGTGCTCACACACAGTGTGTGCTACTTTCTTGTCCTCCTTGAAGAGGAGGTGTTACTGACAGTTTGGCTAATTAGAAGAAATATTACGGATAAATGGATATTTGTACCATTCCACTTTATATTTTGAAATTTCCCTATCATCTGAACCAGTTGAGAAATAAAACACGTATTCCAAGGAAATCCTATGGAATGACTCAAGGCTGCCCTGGAGCAAAATCTACACTCCCGTGGAGAAAACAAACCCTGAGCTGCCAAGAAGCATAAGAGCAAAGGTGGTGGTCATCTCCCAGAATCTCAGCAGATCTTTAGGGATGGCCAGAGATGGTTATGTTCACAGGACAGATTGTGTTGACTTTCCCTGTAGCACACCTTACATGCCTTCTCTGCTAAAATGGAGCAGTGGGAGGAAACCCCACTAAGATAGGACTGGAAGGACTCTCTTAGATCACTGAGTTTTTCCCCCCCTGCTGTCAGGGGCATCATATTTTATAACGACTCACAATTTATAATCTGACAAAAAACATAAATGTGTTTTTTCTTCTCAACATTCCTACTGGAAACTCATGCTCTTCTGACTGTTAATACTCTCCTAATTTCTGCCCCCACCACAAAAACTTACTTTTCGCTCATCTGATTTTATGCAACGATGTTTTTCAATGTATATAGCTCCTTGGTACTCATCTCCATTATGTATTTATAGATGGTCCTTATCTTTTGTCACTAAAAAAAATTTCCAATCTCTATTTTGCTTTTGCAAGATGGGCTTTCCATTTACATGTCTTGTTAACTTTTTAATGCTTTTTTAGCTTTTAACTCTTTGATTCTTTAACTCGCATCTCTCACACCGAAAGAAAATAAACTTTTCTTATGCTAAAAGGGAGAGCAAAGACAAGCTTTGATTGTTTTGGGAAGTAGAAGGCTTCTCTGTCTCTAAATACTGTATTTCTTCCAGTTAAAATGACAGTGCAATCAATAATATGAACTTCTTTCGAGGGTCCCAAGTATCTTTTATTGTAGTATGACTTTTTATATGCAGGCAAGATTAATTCAATCTAACTTGTATTGTCAAAAATTAACACCCAGCCAATTTTGTCTGTGATGTTAATTTTCTTCTCAGATGCAATTGCTCTACCTTTAAAGTCTGTTGGTAGTAAGACAACTGTTGCATTGGTGAGCATATCTGGACTAGATTTTTGACCTTCCACATTCAGCATACTGCAAGAGAGCTGGTGACTCCAAAACTATGGAAAGAGCGGAGGAGGGATTACCCATCTGTATGTATTTAGGTCACAGGGACCACTGGAAAAAATGTTTCCTACCAGTCTCCTCTTAGCCAGAGCTGAATTGTCAAATGCAGGTATTGTTAGCAAAACACAGGGGCCCAAAGTGCCTATCTCTGCCAGGCTCAGTTACAGCTGAAAAAGAGTATTTGGAGGTCTGTTAGAAAAAAAGAGGCATCTTGGACAGATTCTCCCTTCCTCTCCCCTTTTTCTCTGTCTGTTGCCTCACAAAGAAGTGACCTTTTAAAATCACTTATCTAGAAGCTTTAGTTTAAAGAGCTGCTGATGCCTCTTGGAAAACACTGAAAAACTCTTCTGAAACAGTGCTGCTGCTCCCTGTGTCCTGGGTCCCTTTCTTCCCTCTTTCACTGCTAGATGCATTTTGCGTTAGAAAAGGCTGTTCAGCCTCAGCTGCCCTGTTTGCTGAAGTCACAGCCTGATTTATAGCATCAGTAAATAGCTGCTGTTGCAGCCCAACCACTCACAGCATCTCCTGAACTGGTAGGAAGTGGCCAGATGAGATGTCCCTCAGCAGGACAGAATTTGGAACTAAGTGGGTTTTATGTTCTTGAAGCTGTTGATATCTAGGCAGAGTAAGTTTGAGAGATGAATTTGCCTTGTCAAGGCTCTTCTGGTGTGACCTGTAAATCTGAAGTTTCCCAGCAGCTAGAGGTTGAGTCCTCAAAAAACTCACTCTGAAGCTGAGGAACTTTGGACCTTTGGCCAAGAAGGCTGGACTTCCATGTATTTCAACTCTGACCAACCAAATGTCTTAGACAGACTTTTGTGTGCCAGTCTGAAGGGAAGGGTTGTGTGTCTTCTTCCTATCTGGGAGGGAGGAATATTAATCCAGTAATTTAATACATTTTAGGGCCAGGGGAAATCAATGCCCCTTCTTGTCTCATTAGGCTTCTTGCAAAAACTAAAATGGCTGAAATAGGCTGATTGAATGACTGTGGATAAAGCAGGAATCCCAGGCTGTTTCATTCCTACCAATATCCAGTTGATGATGATGTGCAAAAGAAGGCCAACCACAGGCTGGCTTGTACTAGCAAGAGTGCAGACAGAAAAACAAGATAAAAGTGCCGTATTTTTGGCACTTTTGAGATCACATTTGGAGTACCGTATCCCGTCTGAGCATCTTCAGTGCATGAAAAGCACTGACATACTGGAACAAGTCAGAAGCCACTGAGTTGATCTCAGGAGGAAGGAAAGATCACATGAAGGGGCTCTGGTTCCTGTGCAGGATGTTTGTACCACTTGAAGCAAAATACTGGAAGCACCAGTGCCAGTGCTTATCACAGGGAAGGAGAAACTGCTCATCGGGATAGTAGCATAGCTGTAATTAAAGCACGTTTTAGTTGCTCTGCATTACTAGGCATTGGGAGCTCTCTGCTAAACACTGTAGTGAGTTTTGTTATCCACTGAATTTACTGACTGTGATTTTATATTTCCTTCACAATTCTTGCAAAAATATGGAATAGCTTTGGGCTATATATGAAACCTCACCCGGGAACCTGCCTCATAAACAACTACAGAGTGAGGTTTATTACTTAGCCAGTTTAAATCCACATAACATACACTATGAGGATATAAGTAGCCTAGTGTCAGGATTTCAGTAACCAGGTCAGAATGGTCCAGTAGAAGCAGCCAAGGATTCTTGAGGTTTTCAATACCAATTGGCTTTGGTACATTTACTGGCCAGAGTCCCAGGCTCTCTCCATAGCTCTCTATTCAGACTGCAGAGTTTCATGTTTAAGGATGTGACTGCAGTCTGGTCTTGTTATTTGCAGGCCTGTAAGATTACTCTGAGATAAATGTTGTACTTTCCAACTTAACTGCTCCACCCACTACTGCAGCTCCGTGACTGCTGAGCAGCACGAAAGCATCTGCTAGTGACACTGGTTGGTTTTAGGATCTTTACTAGGGGTGATGTCTGAGGCAGAAGGAGCAAGCCAAGATGCCAAGCCCGGTCCATGCTCACTCCTTGCCATACCAGTTCACCCTGGCATCATAGGCGGTAGGACCTTGAAACCCTGCTGCTACATCAAGCCTGGGGGACTGCCTGCTGAAGAGCAGGTACCGTGTGCTGTCCCGGTTGGACACCAAGGCAGGGCCTGTGATGCTGGGACACTGGTTCAGCGCTCACCCAGGGTTTGTGTCACCAAAAGCGCCTGTGCAGAGCACGGAGATGGAGGCATCAGGCTGGTTCATACTCACAACGGATATGGCCATGCTCAGTGGTGGCCTCCTAGGAAGAAAGGGAAGGGGAACCAGGCAGGGAGGAGCCACCATGGTTGATGCGTTCAGGTCCTACAACTTGGATGTATTAGTAAAATGTCCTGACTGCGGCCTGAGGCACTTTCAGGGGATGCAGTGTGTGTCCATCCTTTTACTTCTTGTGATAATGCACTGGTTGGAGCTCCTGGGGTAGCCATAGCTGGCATGTAACATTTCATCCCAGTTTGTCCTTTTCCTCATCTTCTTTTTAATCACAGAGGCCATCTGTAGAGCTGCTCAGAAAGCATGGACCAGAGAAAGCCAGTGGTAGGCACCCAGAGAAGGGGACTGAGGGCCAGCTGCTGGCAAGTAACCATTGCTGCTGCCGTGGTGGGCAGCGTGACAGCCCTCTACCTGGGGATCCTGCTGGGTGAGTGTGCAGCCAGGCACGTTCTTTCAGTTTGTCTGCTCCAAAAATAAATGGTCTGCACAGCTCACAGTCCTCGTAGCAAAAATCCTCAAAAGCCTTCTGCTGAGGACAAAATGTGGTCAGCTTGCCCCACATACACACACAAACTGCAAGGGCTGTAGTCAACTCACGTTCTGAGTATCTGACTTTAAGGCACTTTATCTTCAGTGTCGCCTAACACATATGCTCTATTAATCTCCTCTAATCTCTCCCTGCAATTCCCAAATTTCCTGTCACTGTACCTCACTGCCCCAGCCATCTCCTATCACAAACTCTTGCAGGCACTGACCATTGCCTGTTTTACTGTCCCACTCCAGAGCATGACCACCATCTCCTTGCCTCTCCCACCTCCCTCCTGCTGCCTCTGGTGCCCCATGGCCAGATGCCACCTCAGGCCAGCACCCTGGTGTGGACCCCAGCCTGACACGACTGACAGATCCCACCAGCACAGCTCTACTGTACAGCACCACTTTCTAAGATGGCTTTGGTATCTAGCATGCCTTTCCCCAGCCTCGTTACTGCAAGGATGGGGCCAATCTGGGATTGCGCTGCCAGGCTGCACCCATCTGTTCATGAACTTTTGTCTCAAGCTTGACAAAAATCCACCATTTTCAAGTCCAAATTAGTTCAGTGCAAATTTCTCCTATTACATGTGTGCGGGGTAGCCCAGCACGGTCATGGGGCACCCCCAAGGCAGCCTGGAGTGGTCAGGGACAGTCAAGCTGCTCAAACCAGGAGGGTCTAAAGGACACGATGAGACCCATGTTGCAAAGCGGACAGTGAGGAAAGCTGGGTCCAGCCATGGCCCCAAACCTCTATGTGTCCTTTGTGCCTCTGACAGACACCTTCCCTCTCTGGCAGCCTGTCATCCCACAGGAGAGACCAGCTTTGAGCACACAGTGGAGCTGCAAGGAATCACATTCAACAGCAGCTTACAGAGGGAGAACTCGGACTACTACAGGGTGCTGACGCCTGCTCTTGAGAGGCTGGTGAGTTGAGCTGGACTTGCTAGGAAAAGACTTGGGAAAGACTGTGGCGGTTCCTAGCGCGCAGCTCAACTGTCCTCGTTCAGCAGAATCTGGATGCCAAGGGCAAGAGGAAAACAGGGATTTCTTAAACATCAGCAGGCTACACCGTGGGGCTGAGCTGCACTTCCAGAGGCCCTGTCAGGGCCCTGAGAGACATTTGCGGAGTGGGAAATGTGTGCTCAGGTCTGTTCCTTGCAAAAGAGAGGTAGCAGGAAGGCATAAAGAAGGGATGTGCTGCCTCATGCCCTGAGCCAGGGTGGGAAAAGGATTACACAGGAGCTAGACGCAGGTGCTCCTGCTGCCTGCAGAGACAAGAGAAGATGCTCCAGGTAGCTCCAGCTCCCTAGAAAATCCCAGGCATCATCTAGTCCCATCTCCCTGGGGTGTTCTGCCCAGTAACTGTGTGACCATCATTCTTTGCTTTTCAGTTTCTGTCCAGTTTCCAGGACTCCCAGCTGGACTGGAGTTGCACTGGTTGCACCATCCTGGGCTACAGGTGAGTGTAGGCAGCTCGCTCTGCAGACTGTGCAGCTCATGTTTCAGGGCATTCTCACAAGCTCCGCTAAGAAGGTGTTTTTGTTCAGACCTAGTACACAGAGAAACTGCTTTTTGGTGAAAGCTGGATTTTCTTCTGGGATCACACCAATGTTCTGGATTCTTTCATTTGGAAATGCAGTCAGAAAGGCAGAGGAAAATGGCTTTGTTCAACCAGCCATGGCTGAACTTTGGGCCAAAGAAAAAATTGCAAATGACCATTTCAACCTAGAGCACATCTCCAGAGAAACTTGCGCCTTAAATTAATAAGAATTAGTTTTGTTTCCCTTGAGTTCCCTGTAGGCAGCTAGCACAAGAGCCCATCCCTTGTACTGTATCCATTAATTCTCTGTCTTCCAGCAGAAATGGAAACTCGAGCGTGATCGTCCGTTTCCGCCTCCTCTTTGCCCCCCAGGATTCCCAACCCCTGAGCTCTACCATGGAGGAGGAAGCTCTCAGACATGGGCTGGCGGCTGCCTTGCACAAGCAGGGTCTCTCCCTGGCTGCCTATGGGACTATATCCTCAGCTTCTCTTACAGGTATGCTCCTCCCGCAACTGCAGGGCAGCCAGAGCAAGATGCCCTGTGCTGGTGCTGCCAGTCACACTAGCAAAACCACAAACTGTGTCTCAGATAGCACAACTGCCGCAGGGCTTTAGCTTTGGATGTCCAGTCAAGGCTTCATGCCTAGCAGCAATGTTAGAAATGGAGGTGCTGCCAGGCACCCAAGCAAACCAATAAAAGATGCTCTGCCTGGCTCCCAGGTGCTACCAGTTTCACAAAATAGCAGCAGAAACATGCCTAGCTGTTGGTGGTTGCTGAACAGATGTTTGTAGGGAGTCCCCAGGTCCTCCTCCAATTCTAATGCTCTCCTACTGCTCTCTGTCCTGCAAGAGCAGCTTTGGGCACCTGCAGCAACAACAGAGCCTAAAGCGTAAACTGCAGCTTCTTTGGCTTTTCTTGCAGCACCTGGAACCAGACTGAGGGACAGGAGATCAAGCCTCAGGAGGTTAATTGCTGGGTTGTCTGTCCCTACAAGTACGCAGCAGCCCTTAGGCAGTCCTCAGAGTTGTAGCAATAATTCCTGCTTAGGGAGATATTTGTCATATTTGAATTATTCTCTGAAACCACCTAACTAGAAATTCTTTCCTTCAGTGACTGTGGCGTTGCATTTGACCATAGGACTCCAGGTCCAGCAGATTTAAAAAAACATGTGCCTGGAAAACATGAAGGTGTGGGTTCCCTGCAGCTCCCTCTGCACTTCCTGCAATGATGGGCAGGATCCCTGGATCTTTGGGAGCCTTGTGCAGCCCAAATGGAGGGTGCACAGACACCCCCTTGGCTTTAGGCAACAGCCCTGCATAGCTTCAGCCTTGGAGCCTGCTCCTGGGAGGCAGCTCACTGCCACAGCTCTTGGGAATTTTTCCCTGCACCTGGGATCACCCCAACAGCCGAAAGGGCTGTAGATGGCTGCTCCTCCACTGCATACTGTGCCTGTGGTGGAGCAAACTGAGGAAGGGCCCCGGGAAAGAAACTGGGCCAGGAGCTCACCGCTGGCTGTGGGGCAGGGAAAGTGATTGCCAGGCAGGAGGAAAAGATGAAGCAAAGCCTCTGCCAGCCCTGGCCCGGGAGCAGCACAGTCCACGGGAGCATGCAGTTCCTGTGCCCCCGACTGCGATGCCCTCACTGATCCCCATTCCTTCCACTTTGTCACAGGTCCCAGTGAGGTTTCTCCCCACAGACCTGGACTGAAATCAGGTAAGAGCCAGGCAGCAGGAAGAGCCATCTGCCCCAGCTCCCTTGGCTGCACTCTGCAGCCTGACCTGTAGCTTTCTCCTCACTGGCGGCCTGGCTGTAGATACAAGAGGCGTTTGTGCCCCATCTTGTTCATAACCTGGTGGTCCAGGGCTCTGCACCCTTTTCCCCCTGCAAGGTCCACAAGAGCTGCAGCTCCGCTCCCAGCTCCATCCCGCAGGGACACTGGCACTGCCAGGGAGCAGAGTGACAAGGACACTGCGGTGGTTGCCCCTCGGGAAGCTGGGGGATGGTTGCTGGGAGGACTGCAGAAGACACGAGTGACCCAACCCTTGCTGTCCCCAGGGAACTGCCCTGGAGACACATTCACTTGCCTCAACACCCAGTGCGTGTGGAAAGAAAACCCTGAATGTGACGGCCAAAAAGACTGCGCCGATGCCTCTGATGAAAGGGGCTGTGGTGAGTCTCTCACAGCAGGTCTCCTGGACATGGGGGATGGGCCACAACCCACTGCTGCAGACCTTGACAGCTGTAACACCACTGGGCTTCTGGGCACTGAAGAGAGCCAAGGACAAGGCATAACTTGTCAGGCCAATAGTAGATGTCTGCATCAGGATGAGGGGATTTGTACCCTAGAAACACCTTGGTCACACCACCAACTGCAAAGCACCACAACAAGGCCTACCTTCCTGGTGGGCTGGTGTGCTGGGCAGGCGCCACATGCCCACGAGCTGGTGGGAGCAGATCACAAGGCAGCGGCTGAGCTTGTAAAACTAGCTAAGATATTTCTCTCCAGAATTTCTTGCTTTAGAGGAGTTTGAGGAAGGATGCTGTGATGGGCCAGTGCTTTGCAGTGCTCTTTCCCAAGCCTGCAGGTTAAAATCTGCCCTGTGACATCCCTGGCAATGTCCTGCTGCTTGAGCATGTGCTGGGAGCATGCACAAAGCTGAAGCAGCTTTTCCCACTTGCACCCGAGAGCAATGTGCTAGGGCGTAGCTGGCTGATGTACTGGCTCTCTCCCTTTCAGACTGTGGGAGCCGCCCTGCCATGCAGACTGCCACCAGGATAGTCGGAGGCTCAGAGGCATCCAGAGGGGAGTTCCCATGGCAAGTCAGCCTTCAAGAGAACAATGAGCACTTCTGCGGTGCTGCAGTCCTCACAGAGAAGTGGCTGGGGGGCGGGAGAACCTTGCACCCGTGCCCCCTCCCCCTGCCTGCCCCTGTTCCCAAAAGCTGCCGTATCTTGCGGCCCAAGCTCCCGCTGTACCACACTGCCCCACCACGCCTGGTTTCCTTCCCCTACCAGATTAAGCCACGGGAGCTCCTGTCCCAGAGCAGATGGCAGGATGGGCAGGAGGCAGCACCACCCGCACCAAGCAGCTCTGGTTTGAAGGGCGATGCTGTGGCTGCAGACTCACACAATCCTGGCTGTCTCTCTTCCACTTGCGGCCCAAGCTCCCGCTGTACCACACTGCCCCACCACGCCTGGTTTCCTTCCCCTACCAGATTAAGCCACGGGAGCTCCTGTCCCAGAGCAGATGGCAGGATGGGCAGGAGGCAGCACCACCCGCACCAAGCAGCTCTGGTTTGAAGGGCGATGCTGTGGCTGCAGACTCACACAATCCTGGCTGTCTCTCTTCCAGGTTTCAGGACCCATCCATGTGGGCAGCTTACACAGGGACCACTTCCCTCAGAGGCTCAGACAGTGGTGCAGTGAAAATGGGCATCACACGGATCATCCTGCACCCCTCCTACAATGCCGACACAGCTGACTATGACGTGGCCGTGCTGGAGCTGAAGAGACCTGTGACCTTCACTAAGTACATCCAGCCTGTGTGCCTGCCAGACGCTGGACATCACTTCCCCACCAGCAAGAAATGCCTTATCTCTGGCTGGGGCTACCTCAGGGAGGATTTCTGTAAGCAAAGCATGGCAGATGGCAGAGGAGGCATGGTGGGGTATGAGCAGTGCAGGAGGCACCAGGGAAGGGAACTCGGGCCATGCTCTGGCCAGCTGGGGTGGGCTGTAACATGGGGAGCTGGTCCTGTGCAAGGCTCCCTGTGGTGAGCTCATTGGTCGCATCTTTCTCGTTTAGTGGTGAAACCTGAGTTCCTGCAGAAAGCAACAGTGGAGCTGCTGGACCAGACGCTGTGCTCCAGCCTCTACAGTCACGTCCTCACAGACAGGATGCTGTGTGCTGGCTACCTGGAGGGGAAAATCGATTCCTGCCAGGTAGGCTTTGCCCAGGGAAGCCAGCACACCTCCCCGCATCCCAGTATGCACCAAGCATCACTTCAAGAAGCAGGATCTGATGCCACAGTCACAGTTCCCCCCACAGTTTGAGGCTGTGCCTTGGACCCAAGCACATATCAGGGACTGCAGAAGACAAAAATGAGAATATGATCTCTAGTGCTTAGAGCAGGGCAGTGCTGTTTGAGGGGCTCTTTTGGCTATTTAACTACTTTTCTCTACTTCCTGAGCTGTAATCAGGGCTGGCGCTACCAATGTACCTGGAAGGTCCTCAGATCAAAATCCAGATGGCAAAGGGCAGCAGTGGAAACTAAAACATACACAACAGTTTTTGTGAACAACTTGGTGTTTTCCCTAGTTAGCCTTTTTCCAGCCTGGAATTGCAAGTCAGCTGGAGAAAATCCTGCCTTTCACAATGTATGGGGAGAGGAAGACTGTGTTGTGAGAGGAGGACTGATTTTCATGGCTATCCCTGTGGTTTGGCAGGGCCCTTCCTACCCACAGTCACCAGCTGAGCAAAACTGCACTTCCATGGTAGTAGCGCTTCATATTTCTGCACCAAATGCAGCACAAACGCCAGAGAAGGGGCCAAGAATGGAAGATTTGAGGTTGGATGATGAACACGACCCATCCAGTTACTCGTTATTCACCTAGAGCAATCCAACCCCCAGAAGGCACAGCCAGCTTCACAAACACCACATGTCCTACATCAGTGACACTCATATGGCCCCACAGTACCAAAGAACTGACCAGGGAACCACAGGCCAAATCAAGAAAACATCATGCAAAGATTAGCATGGTCTCCCTGCGTTGGGTATCATGCAATGAACACCCATCATCTGGCTGTTTAGGGGCTGCTGGGCTTAACCTTTAAGAGCAGCAACAAATGATTAAACCAGTAGAAATGCTTACCCTAGGTTTTATGGAGGATGTCCTTGTGCTCTTCTGGTGTATCAAGGGCACAAAGCTACTGCTTAATAGCAGGACAGTGTGCCCACACAGAGGAGCACTCAAAGGCCAGCACAGGAGATGCTTCACTCATCATTAGGCTGGAGCAAATAAGCAGAGGTGAGCTGGGATACACAGGGACAGAGAGACACAGTCCGGCAGAGGTATGCTGAGGGTGGCTAGGGTGAGCTCGGAGCATCCCCAGGGAGAGCTCACCATCTGGCTTCTCTTGCAGGGCGACTCTGGTGGGCCCCTGGTTTGCGAAGAACCATCTGGCAAGTTTTTCCTGGCAGGAATCGTGAGTTGGGGAATTGGATGTGCTGAAGCCAGGCGGCCCGGGGTTTACACACGTGTTACCAAACTCAGAGACTGGATCTTGGATGCTATTTCTGCCTTCTCCACCTCCATAGCCCATACTGTCCCTCCAATACACTCCAGTACTAACAGTAACGTGGCTAGCTCTGAAGAGCTCAACATCAGCACCACCAGCGCAATCCCCACCACTTCACCAGCCCCAGCTGCCAGCAAGCCAGTGACTGCATCGAGACCACAAGGTATGAGCACCCACAGGATGCACCTGCACCGTGGCAGGAAAAGTGGCTGGTACAGGTCCAATGTCAGGTTCATTCTTCCACTGAGCTGAAATGACCTTCAGTAGTGACCCACACAACCCTTGCCTTAACACTTGCCTAAGTGTTAAGGGCCGAGGCACAAGTGATGCTGTCTGGCTGCCCTGGCTCAGAGCAGCCTGGCAAAGTCACTCAGATGAGTTTCATGGGCTCCTTTGTTTATTCAACTGAATGTGTAATTTTGTCTGCTGTGTAATTGGTTTGCTCCAGCAGGCCCAGGACAGGGTACTAAGACACAGCAGCGTCTGACACTTTAACCTGTTGACCACTCACTTTTGTTTGCCACGTAAGGATCTCCCAGCAGTTCAAAGTTGATGGCTGCAACTTCCCCTGAAGGGAAGGAGGGCAGGTGTCCATAGGATGACCTGTCAGCTCCAAGGAGCCCTTCCAGCAGCTCTGCAGGGAGATACAGATGTAGGGTATTTTCCTAAATTTAGTATTAACTTTTTATCTGGAATGACAAGGCTGAGAGGCACAGAGCTGCTGGTTACTCTGCCTTCAAGAAAGGCATAGGATTAAGGACTTGCCAAGAGCAAGATGCAGAACAGCAGTTAGGGTGAAAGCCTACGTGTGGCTGTGCACGGCCACCATCAGGGACCGCCACGATCAGCAGGCAGGCAGGCCTTGGGCAGATACCTCACACTTCAGCCCTGACCTGTCCCTGCTCAGACTTACTGATTAGAAAGAGCAAAAGTCTCTCCTCGCTTTTTTTCTGCTAGGACTACTCACAAGTCATGCTTTGACTTTTGTTCAGAGTGTGGAGGACGACCTGGGTTCTCTAAACCCAGCAAGATCGTGGGAGGAACAGATGCTTCCAGAGGAGAGATCCCCTGGCAAGTCAGCCTGAAAGAAGACTCAAGGCATTTCTGTGGAGCCACCATAATTGGGGACCGCTGGCTGCTGTCGGCAGCTCACTGCTTCAATGAGTATGAGACCATCCCTGCTAGCACTGCTGTTCCAGCTTGCCTGCCCACCGGCACAGAGCTGTGCAGCTCTACGCGGCCGTGTAGCCAAACACACAGCTGTGGCACTGGAGTCACTGGGGAAAAACAAGAACCCACATTGGATATTAATTTTTGTTATAGCTAGAGATTCATAGTAAAAGGGGTTTTGTGGGGAGGCTGGAATGAGGCAGGGAAGGGTTAAAGTAGCCTGGGCAGGAAGCAAGGACAACACACCTAACAGGGGTGGAAAAGGACAGGTGCCACAAGAGAGTTTCCTCAAAAAATTTAACTTTAAAAATTGGCTGTAATATAGGAAATAGAGACACATGGTCAGCTGTGGTCCGTTCAATCCTGCATAGTTCTGTTAAACAGCAAGAGCCCAAGTCCAGATTTATAAATAACCTAGATAAAGAAATGAGTAGCAAGAGGATAATGTTTGTCAAGAATAAAAATTCCTGAAGGCAGAAAAATTCCTGAAGTCCAGAATTCAGGGACTAACTATGAAGAGTTTCAAGACAACCGTATGCATTAAATAGCTGGGCAATAAAGCAGCAAGTGAAATGCAAGGCAAGTGTGAAGTGAGGCACATAGCAAAAAAGCAGTGCTATCTGCCTGCAGATGATGATGGGTCTCCCATCAGCTTTTACCATTCAGAAAAAGAGGTCAGAAATACTGTGGATATTGCCATGAGAACAGCAGTTCTGTAGGCAGTGGCAATTAAAGAGCAAGTGAATGCTAGTAATTATTAGAAAAACAACTGAGATTACCAGTATGTTGCTGATAATCCACAACATACCGACTTCTCAAACATTGCATGCAATGCTAGAATAACATACTGTACTGTACTGTACTGTACTGTACGACAAGACACAAGGATGACCTGGGTGCAGAACAGCATCCATAACAAGCACGACAAAATACATCAGACTAGACTTGGGAAAAGAGAGAACTGGGTGGGAAGGGAGTGGGTGATAGGGACTATATGATTACAAAAACTACAAAGTGTTTAGGGAATACCTTACTGTTTTTCTAAGATATCAAATAACCACCAAAAGCAGGTGGAAAACAAGCAAAAGGAAGCAGTTCTTCATAAGCGTCATTAAACTGAATGTTTAAAATTCACATGGGGTTAAAAAAAACTGAATAAAACACAACTCTAGAAAAATCCAAATAAACCCCAAAAATCTATCAAGACCTACTGAATATAGAGACACCAGCTGTGTGCCAGAACACTCCTGAAATCACAAATTTCTAGAGGTGAGGAAAGGATTACTACGTTTACCTGCTCTTCAGGAGACATCCAACATGTGCCACTGCTGGAAACAGTTCTTTGGGCCTGACTTAGCAGGGCTGCTCTTCTGTGTGCTGGGTTCTGCTTTGGTAAAGTAAGGTTTCAAACACTGATCATTTAAATGTCAGAATTCATGCTAGGCATATGTGTGTGAGCATGCATGTTTACGATTATGTATTTGCAGGACAAATCCAGAAGAAATCGAGGCCTACGTGGGAACAATATCACTAAATGGAACAGATGGGAATGCAGTGAAAGTCAATGTAACAAGAGTGATCCAGCATCCCCTCTTCAACCCTATTATTCTGGACTTCGATGTGGCTGTACTTGAGCTGGCAAGACCTTTTGTCTTCAACAAATACATCCAGCCTGTCTGTCTCCCACTTGCTGTGCAGAAGTTTCCTGTTGGCAAGAAATGCATAATTTCTGGGTGGGGTAACCTCCAAGAAGGGAACGGTAAGCAGTGATGCATTACCAGTTGATTTGCTCTGGAGCAGTGACAGACTCAGCAGCAAAGCCTGTGCCACTGCGACCCAGGCAGTCCTGGGAGCATACAGGACGGGACAGTAACAGGGACAGTCAGGAACTGACAGAAACACAAGAATAAGGGCTCTGTGTGTAAATAACCACAGTTGTTTAGGAGCCACCAGCAAACAAGAAAATGGAGACAGCAGCTTGGCAGGAACCAGGAGAAACCTGCTGGGCCCCCCTCAGTAGTTCTCCCATGTTAAGCAAGAGTGGGGCACTGCCTCAGTGGCCTGCTGTAGCTCTGGCAGGACAGTATGTCAGCCTCAGCAAACATGCTCAGTCGCAAAGATGTTCCAAGCAATTAGAAAAAGCAAAGATCCCATTGTAGGGAGAAGGCCTGAGGGTAGCACGTGTGCTACCAAAGAAGCCCTGTTGTCCCTCTAACATTTGACCAGGAGCCCACAAGCTGTCAAGACAATAGAAACTTGGTGCCTGTGTGCAGTATCCTTTGCACAGGTATGAAACTGCACCCTGGGATGAACCAGGAGCTTCAGGGCTGCTAAGAGAGTAGCTCATATAGGACAGGCAGGGAGTGCCTGAGCCTGTCACTTGTACAGGAGGGCAGCAGGGACAATGCCTGTGTGCGCTGTGACCAGGTGGATGATCTGCTCAGCCTGGTGGCAGAGCTGAAAGAGGAAGTGGAGGGGTCAACGTGTATCAGGGAGTGTGAGGGAGATAGATTGGTGGAGCCGCACC